GCTGGTCTGCATAATGTGGGTAACATTGCAATCCTGGTCGCTGATTCCAAGGCATAAAACCTATGATGATGAGTTCAAGTGTTTTTCAAACATCAAAATGTCTTACTTGACCAATAAACAAATTATCACAACCAGGATCAATTGTTTCACTGTTGACTGCTGCCAACTAGTATCTATGGCATACGTTCAATGAACAAGTGAATGGAAGGCACAATGATTGTACGTATGTAGAGATGTTGTGTCTTTCGGATATTGTGTCACATATATCTCCAGATTGAACAGTTGCATTACAGTCACAACCAGTGGGGAGTCCTAGACCTTTTGCAGTTATAAATGTTAGTATAATTGAATTTTGAGGATGACTATTACTGATCCTGACCAGAAACAACTGAGGTAATGGTGGCAAGGCAATGAGTCTGGCAGTGAAGAATGAAGCATGCATGCTGGCCAGGTGAGGAGGTCCAGAACAGGTGAGTGGTGTTCAATGCATTTAAGCTGACTTTCCTAGCTGCCTTTATACACTTGAAGGACCAACACTGGCAGGGTATTCTAATGGCCAGTGTTTCCCATGTTTTCAAGTTGTTGGCATCCTTGGACTGTGAGTAAATTCAAGTAAATGGACATGATCATATGGCTCACATGGTGTTCACTGAGGAATGAATCTGACATCATGACAAGAGGATGTGTTAGACTCAGTGAAAATTTGCTCATGTAACCTGATAATGACACATCATACCAACACTGGTACCATACCATCATTATTATAATCTTCACAATGCAAGATTAGTTGTGATGTCAAATTTGCAGCAAACCAGTTCACAAATGGGACCTTCTAAGCTTTCATGGCACCCTTGATTCCTCCAGATTTTCTGAGCACACTTGGTTTCAGATCTCAAAGCTCTGACACGAACCTGGTGATGTCATGACTGTCAGCCTAGCAGCAATGTGTGGGCCATGCATCTCCTGGCAGTAATGATATTGATAGGCTCCTGATGAATGTAGTGGGGATTGCTATTTACAAATGGGGCTTGTCATTGTTGTTGGAGTCAAGGTTCATGATCTTCCTCTTCCTCTGAATGTTTTTTGATCCGAGTATTGTCCTTGTTGGACCATTGGAATAAATATCACTGCCATGCTCCAGTAGACTTGTGTTTTTTGTCATTTGAAGGTAGGAATGATTACAAAAGGCATAACAATAAAGTCATAGTGGCCACCAGTGTCAAGTGCTTGAATGTCCACTGCCATGGACATACAGAATAGTGGACACCATGTACTCAGTACTAGGATCACGTGATTTATGACCTGCACGATGAGATATCAATTGTTGCAGCCTTAGTGATCTCAGAGTGGCATTGATATTACTCCTCCATGGAGTGAGTGACTCACTCATTGTACTTACCTGGTATTCAAGTAGTGATGCCAGTTGAAGAGTTGATCACGCAGGAATAAGTATTTTGTCAACTATGATCTTGATGAGTCTGTTAAACAGCACAAGGCAGTTCTAGTGTGGGGGGCAGAACTGGCAAAATTCTAGGCCATGTAGACTAAGTGTATGACATTCCTAATGATGGCATCAATGTTGCCTCACCCATCCGTCATCCTCCCCATTGCAATTAACCACTCAGCGGAGCTCATCTAGAATAGCCTGTGGTATTATTCCTTGTTCAACCTGATCCAATTTGCTAAAATCATCCCTCAAGCACTTCAACTTCATCCATGATTGCTCTGAACTTCTCAACCCTGGATTTGAGCAACTGGTGAGTTATCAGTGAGCCGCAATGTTTGCATTTCCAGTAGCCTATAGTGATTTGAGTTGTCCTCAACTTGTTCTAGGCACTTGTCATATCCCACAATCCGGACCCACATTCCATCATATTCCCATGCCTTCCGAGCCTACATCTGGACCCCACTTCATATCCAGCTCATTCCCAGATCCCCTTCTGCTTGTGCTCCACACCTCAGCAGGATTGACTACACTCTGGATTTACTCCTGAGCTCCAGACCATCAGATCTCCACTGCTAGCCTGATACATACCCCCCTGTCCCATCCACCCTATGCACACTCCATCCAGCAAGACATCCAGACTTCACCTCATCTCGGATTCTGGACTATATCCACCTTCTTGTATTCTGGTCCTGTATCCACCTGGTCTTCCAGATCCCCAGATCTCCGGACCTCCAGATATTAACGCTGGACCTATTCCCACCCTCTGTCCGAGATCCTGCACCTATCCCCATTTAGGCATCTCTACCTTTCCAGCTTTCAGTTACCTCTTCTTCCATCTTGCTTATTGATCCTTGTACAAGTCTTCATCTCTGAGTTCATTTACTTATGTTCCATCTTACTTACTAATGTGTTTCCGCATACTCGTACATAGCCCTGCTCCTTTGATTACTGATCCCCTCAGATATTCTCCAGTATATAACCCCTGTAGATACTCCTGTAGAAGTATTACCTTGCAGTGGGAACTCTCCTGAGCACTTCCTGCATTCCTCCGGAACTCTCCTGCGCTCCTCCAGACATTTCCCGCACTCCTCTGGAAGTCCTCCAGACTTTGTTGGACCATCATCAGACCTCATATGAAATGAAGGGCACATACTCAGGTAAGGGGCACAGCATACGAGCTGAGGCCAAGCCCCTCTGAGTCAGTCTCTCTCCCCCTTGAGCAACATGGTTCTTAACAGCACTCGAGATTGTCGTTTACATTGATCATTGATGCAAGGGAGCTTCCAGCATACCATCTTCCTTTAGGGATGTTGGGTTTCATGTTCTATTGAATTCAAAAGATCTAAATTACATCTCTGTGAGTCTCAGATACTGTACAGCTATGCACTTAGGTTCAACCCAATTTGGGTGTGACCAAATGAACATTAGGTTCAAAAGTTTGAAGGGGTGTGTGATGTGTGACATGCTGCACATAGGTTCATTGTGTGTGACAACCGACTGGGAGTCTCAGACAGTTATGGCCTCATTAGGCAGACATGTTTCTTTCTTTGTATGAGCGCAGAGATGCTCACACCCAACCTGGAGACTTGGTTGCTCACCCCACAGAGTTTTGTCTGCAAGTTTACTTCCATTTGGCAATATCATGCCTTCTTCCTATGTTGCTGCAGAGTCCTGTCAATGCGGATCCAATGTTTGGTGAGCCATAACCCAGCCTACAATGAGGATGCCATCTGAAACATTCCCCCCACCTCTGACACAGGGCCTCAATTTACAGCTGTAACCACTGATGGTTCAAAGGAGGTTGATGTTGAGGGTCATGGGAAGCACAGACATGTTGCAAATACTCAGTACAAGGACTTTTGGCAGCACTAGAACATTTTTTTTATGTTTTTACCACATGTCACAATTTAAGTTCGATGACCTCAATATGGGTATGACCGTCACACGAAATAGGTTCGATTCGCTGGGCCTGTGATGGTGTGACGAACTTAAGTGCGTAGCTGTACAGTACCCTGGAATTCTGCCAGGTTCCGCGACCCTCCCTTCGTGTGAGTTCTGCACGACCAATTTTGCCAGACCGGCTGGCAAAACCTGGCAAAACTCCCGAGTACTGCCAACAACAAGTACTGATGTCAAGGCCGCCAACGATCAGAAGATGCTATCACCCAAAAAGTGCGCGTGACGTATGATATATACGTGTCACATAGCACGTGCTAACAGTCACTTCGCATTCGTCACAAAGGAAGCGCGTTTGTTTGAGCCACTAATCATGGTGAATCATATCAATATCGTCGGTCTCTGCGCTTGACAGAGACCTCTTGCATTAACATGGCTCCGAAGTACCCTAAAATCTTAGGTATGTGCTCTCTCTTATCGTGCCAGGTTCACAAATGACACGATTGCAGGCTATGAGCTCATTCAACAAATCGGTGGAGGTAGCTTCTCGAGCGTGTTCAGAGCCGTCAATATAGAGAACCATCAAGTGGCAGCATGCAAGGTGATATTTATTAAGGAGCAGACTACCGAGAAGGAACGCAAGGTTGTTGAAAAGGAGATGAAACTTCATAAACTCCTCAAGCACAAGCATGTCCTAGAGTTTCTACATGCTGCCGTGGTGGAGCGCAAATATAAGGATAGCTATGTGCCTGGAATTTACATGCTGCTAGAGCTTGCTGCAGGAGGAGACCTCTTCGATAAGATTGGTGCGCTTCGTTGACTGATCGTGTATCCAATCATTAACCCATAACTCATCAGCGCCGAATGTTGGGATTGGAGAGGATGTGGCACACTACTATTTCGGCCAGTTACTGGCAGGGATGGTGAGATATCACTGTTCATCCATATTTAAAGAAAACAAAATATTTCCGGACCACAGGACTTTATTCATCGCGAAGGAGTTTGCCACCGTGACCTGAAACCGGAAAATATTTTGCTCGATGTAGCTGGTACCCTCAAGATTTCAGACTTTGGTCTCGCAGCAGTCTACAAACTCAAGGAAAGCGGCAAGACAAGACAATTGAACGAATTGTGTGGCAGTTTGCCGTACATGGCCCCAGAAGTGTGTCATTTATACATTCTCGGATTGTACTCACAATATGATTCCAGGTTCACTATGAAACACCGTATGAAGCAGAACCAATTGACGTCTGGGGGATTGGTATCATTCTTTTCACACTTCTCGCGGGAAGTCCGTCAAATTTCCAATCATTTCCATAAATTCTTCATATTAACATCCCTCCCAGATACCCCTTGGGATCAATCCACAGCACAGTCGTCAGAGTTCTGTCAGTATATCACGGGCGAGATATTCAACGAGCTCCCTTGGAATCGTCTAAAAGCAGAAGTCCTATGTAAGCGGAATCATCATGTGCTTTTCGTGTTAATGCACGCTGATATGCCCACCAGCACTTATCTGTGGCCTCCTAACTATCGAGCCAGAGAAGCGTATGACGCTCGCCGAAGCATTTGCTCACCCGTGGTGCATAAGACCAAGCCAAATTGCGAAGCAAGGTGTTGTCGCGCTTGCAGACCACTTAACTGAGTCTTTGAGGGCGAACGGTGATCTGAATTATGCGATGCCGGATATTGCAATCTCTGCGTACGTTCTCGGGATTATCATCATGAGGTTAACATTCACTTTCGTATGTAGTGAAACTCGCAAAGATAAAGATGGAGACGAGATCATGCTCTCTGCAACCCATCAATCCCAATTCACCCAATCGCTTTTATTATTCGTACGTCTCCCAAGGATGCACATTTTAGTTCTATTTTGACTCCGTTGTTTTCTTCAGTCACAAACACAGTCAGGTCGCAGGTATACACCTAACCTTACTCGCTTCTATACTTCTTTTGGGCCAGGGATCATGATGCAACTCGTAAAGGAATCCTTGACTACCCTCGGCGTCAAACACAAAGACGGACCTACCGGTGAGGATGAACGAGGGGAGATCCTTCGGTTGCGCGTAGGCGGGTATGACAAACGGAATATCGCATTCAAAGGCTGGGTCGAGCTCGAGAACTTCCGCTACGCTGAAACTGACGGAAGCTTCTGCTTGATGACTCGAGACATTGTAGGTTTCGTTCCATTCTCCGTTTCTGAATGTAGGCTCATGGAGCCACAGGGAAATCCTATTTCGTGGCGCCAGTTGTGGAAAGCACTAATTTTGTCACCGGCCGTGGATCCTCACGTACTCCGCAAATGACTCCATTAGCACTATGACACTCGAACACTGCCGTGTGTTGTTTGAACTTATGTCATTTGGATATCTTCGCGAGCTTCTTTCTTGCTGCCTTGTACACGATCTGATTGAACGCTTCTTACAGTATGCCATACACTGCTATACCAAAAGACAATCTGTTTGCTCGAAAATCGAGGTGGTTCGCTTTCCTAAAATCCTATTGCAATTCAATTGTAGTTTCATCGATTCAAGCCTTTGCACCATGGATGCTGAAACCCGTCTTGATCGTGCATTCTTTTCCCCTCTCAACGTCTATGCCGATAGATTCTCAACCACAAAATTTTAGACAAACTGCCGGGCGATTCTCGTAGGTATTGGAACTAATATCAATCGCACATTTCACTGACGAAGTCCTGGAGAATCTTATTTTAGTTCAGACAGCCTGAAAGAAGCTGGGCAGACTCCATTGAACACACCAGAACACACTTGACTATCTTGGAATGTTAACCTATCCTGGAGCATGTAATTTCTCGGTAGAAATGGGATTAGTCAGAAACGTGTCATCGCGCTGCATCGTCGCTTCCTCAAAGTCCAACCTCTCAATACATTTGAAAGCCACTGCATCCCAGCATTCCATACAAACTGTTCGTTAAGGACTGTGAATCGAAGATAGTTTCCTCTGCGACTAACATATGCGACTACATTTAATGGATGACATTACTGAGGTTTGACCAATGACGCTAGCGCGAACCGTGCACAATCCCCGGACTGGTCCTTTCGCTCACGGTCAATTGTGCATAGCATTGTCGAGAGTGAGAACGCGAAGGGACACTCTATTTGCAGAGACGATGCTAATATAATATTTCCTGAGTTGCTACTGTAAACACGATATATTATCGTAGAGCCGACTGAAGGGAAGTACCTGTACAATATATAATGATAAATCTAGAATACGGGCAATTGATGATGATGGTATATACGGGTGTGCGATGAGATGGCAAGTCAAAGTTTTGGTGCATGGTTAACACGTTCTGGCGCGTACTTTGCCTATGCATTCCGTTAGCAAAGGCTATGAGAGATGCTTGGAAAGTTACCATCTCGTTCTCCTTCTTGACATAGCCACATTTTTGGTAGAAGGCTATGAGACATTAGTTGAAGCAGACTTGAAAGTCTATGGTGGGAAGCAACTCACGAATGTTGGCGTCACTACAGTTCAAAATGGTCTTATAACAGCCGCTGCTCTCACTGATATGTGTCAGGGTCTGGATGATATGGAGGCCAAGCTTCTTGCCCTGTTGGCTTTTGTCGACGGCGATATCCTCAATGTGACCGACACTGCCGAGACCGCGGAGGAACTTGCGCTCAATGAAGACGGTGCCTACTCCGACGATCTTGTCGCTCGCCTTGTCGAGGATGACGATGGAGAAGTATGCGCTCGGGGTTGCGCGCATGGCATGGAACTGGTTGACCCAGGCTACCTCGCCGAGGTCGTTGACGATGGATAGAACGGAAAGGACATCGAGATGTCCGCGTCTGTAGTCTGTTGATGCAAGCGGACGCATCTATGTCTTTTTGATGCGAAAGCAGTGTGAGAGAGCCGATGATCAACTTACCTGGAGATCAGGAGGAAGCTGTGCTGAAACTTCAAGTGAAATGAGCTCTTGAGGGAACATAAGGTCTTGAGGTGCGGGATCTACGCGTGTTATGGACATGGTGTCGATCATTGAGATAGTAGTGAAGATAAGTTAAGGAGAATATTCAAGCGAGCCCATCAATGCTATGTACGTCGCCAAACATAGCAACCCGGAAGCGCATAACAGTGATAAGTGCTAAATAGGGCGCTAGCCGCAAACGCTCGTCGACGTCAATCGGAGCCTTGAAAACTTGTACTGGATTCAAGTGGCATTAGAGCTTGTTACACTGAAAGTAAAATGTCTTTATCAGTATCATAAGTACAGTCCGACGCCTCAACCACTTGAGGACAACTGCCTCGCTTTGGACATCTTATTCCCCCACGACAACGAAATAATTGACCCCAACTAGCTTCAACCCATACTTGTCAGCAAACCCCGCCGCATTCCAATTCTTTCTATTCGCAGGCTCGTTCTTGCGCTCCGGGGCATCAGCAGGAATTGAGAAGTCCGCATTGGGTTCCTGATATAACAATATTACTGGGGTAGCCATAATTAACACATAAGGCAATTATAACAAATTTTATATCACCGTAACGATGCTTTCCAGTCCCAGGGGGAGGGGCGGGAGGATAATAGGACGTCACAGCGGGTTTGGTAAGCTGTGCAGCAAGATTGTCCGTCTCAACGGCCGACGTCGGAGGGGTTTTTACACCAGTGACCTACACATGAAGTTAATTAAAAGCTTTGTGGTCTATGAAGATACTAACCATCCAGTGCCGCCACTGTCTGAATTTTGGGTTTTCCCTAGATGGTGCGTCTGGGTCTGTCATGACGAGTGTATAGGTGGGTTCATCAGTCACATCCAGCACCGGAGTGAACAAAACGGTTGGTTCGTCAGCAGTGTCCGTTTTTGTGAGCGTGTTCCCCAAAAGAGCTTCTTGGCTAGTGGGGAAGGTCACGACGAGCAGAGCCTTGGGATGGAAAGGAGGGTCAACAGGGATAACGTCTGGAATGATACCAGTGTCCTTGAGATCTTCTCTGACAGCATTGAATGGATCGAGCAGCATTGTGGGCTCAAGACGTCGAGGGTTTCGACAATGACGGGACTCAAAGAAAGATCAAAATTGAAGTCGTCATTGGAGAAAGGGGTGGTTATGTAATATTCCTTCCAAAGACAGTTTGGGCCTTCATGCTTTCAAGGGCTTGCCGTTAATAAAGCTTGCGTTCTAGCGAGCCTGTAAGATAGAGTGAAAAACTATGCTACAGAACATTGAATGGTGCCTGTAACACTACATGACTGTATCATTCGCACGTCGAATTGAGGAACTGCAACAAGTTCTGTCTATTCGCGTCCATCTCGAGATCTCTCGCATCCTTATGAACTTTCAACTTGATCTGATACAATTATATCAGATAGTCTGAAGCCTATCTAAACAGAGAAAACTGACCTTCTTGCCTGTCAGAACACTGCGCCTTTCATCCTTGTCCTTCGCATTATCTCTATCCTTGTGCTTCTTGTGCTTCTTGTCTCGGTCTTTCTCTCTGTGCTTTGACTTGGACTTGCGAATATCGCGACTATCTGAACGAGACCTAGACCGGTGGCTTGGCGAATTTCCACGCAACCTATGCCGACTACTGCCACCACGCTCCTCAGATGACGTCGACACTACAGAGTTTGTCGAAGGTGAAGGAGATCGGCGTCGGTGTTCAGCGGTCTACGGTGCATTTATGTACACATCTTCAGAGGTCAAAGGCAACTCAGCCAAAAAAAAAATAGGGGATAACGTACAACGCTGCGACTTCTGATTCGCCCACGACTTTCGGAAGGACTCGTGGTATTTGTCTCGGTCCTACAGCAGTGTTAAACCAATATTGAAATAAGATAGTAAGTGTCTCACATAACGATCATCCTTTCCTCTGTCTCTCGTGTTGTCATGATACTTGTGACTGCGTGAGCGGTATGGACTGCGGGACCTTGAACGTTTAGTGTGACGAGACCTTCTGTCCCCTTTCTCGTCACGGTGGCTGCCTCTTTCAGGCGACTTTGAACGACTCCATCCTCTATCTCCCCCTGTTCAGCGAATGCATATCGTGACATGTTATAAATATGAGCATAAGTGAATGTGTTGTCGCCCCATTACCAGCACAGCCGACGTAGTGCGTGGTAATCAACATTGACACAGAAGGTCAGTCAAGAATCTCTAAGGAGCAACGGAGACCATTTACCACTCGTCTATGATAATCTCTTGAGTGGTGCTCTCTCCGTTCACCGTGTCTTCTCTCACTCATGAGGGTTGTTGCGGAAAGGCGATTGTGGAATAATTCAAATTCAAATTAGGTTGTGTTTGGCATCACCGGACCCAAACAACAGAAGTGATTGTGATGGACAGCCTGATAAGCCTGGTCAGATATGTAGGTGAAAACGAATGGGCAGCAGTGTCAGTTCAAACTGACAACCCTAGCGCCGTAGAGAGGAAGGAGGATGAGGTTAGGTTACTTGGCATGGTGGGTTGAATTTTGGTTTTCGTCAAGTAATTAACCCAAAATCGCTCAGACCTTGGATGTGCAGGCGGCGGTACTTAGTACCTTAGGCTTCTCAACCCTCTTGACAAGATTGCACATGGTATCACTGCTGCAAAAGGTCCAAATAGCTGTCCTCATTCCGTCACCGCGACGCGTGCTAAATTTCTCGGCCTGGCCGCGCAAAAGCGATGGAGAAGCACACTTTCCATCACCCATACCTGCCTGCGCATGTCCTGTTCGCCTTCACTTCACACTTTGTGCTCCCTTCTATTTCTTCCGCATATCTCGTCCCTCTCGCTCCTAACCGGTCTTTGTCGTTTTCCAATCGTCAAATTTATATCCCGCGTGTCCCTCACTTTGTATATGCTGACAATCCATATTTCATTCCGTGTTTCTTAGAACGCCCACACACTTATTCATTCGTCTGCCATTATGCGTGATAATGCACGCTTATGCACTCCTTCGTTCTCCTCTTTTAGTGGCCATCGCTCGCTCTCGCTCATGCCATGAAATGCGGGCAGTTCACACTCCCTATTTTCAGTTTCTTGATCTCATCACTATCGGTCTCTGCGTCTCCCTCGGATGGGTTTTTTGCGGAGGGAGTAAATTCTCCCTCCAACGAACGTGACAT